ATCTGAATTATGCTCTGACATGTCTTGACTCTGTCTGTGTAGTCTTTCCTTCTTTTAGCAGTGTTTTATGCAGCAAGGTTAATTAACAAGGATTAATGCTATTCTCAGCTCAGTCAGTGTCTCCTGTGTGGTCTTGGATAACCTGGCCAAGCAGTCACCTTTTTCTCCCCTGTCATGTGCTTGAAGATCCACAGATGTGAAATGCTTCATAGGAACACAGTTATAATTTGATGATGATGATGCAGTATTTCATCATCCTTATATTGCATCTACGTCTGTCATGACTGCATCACATTGGTGGCTCCCAGTCATCCTGCATTTGATTAATACACCCAGATCTTTCTCTTCCTCATTATTGCTTCTTTTGTAATACAGAAGCCTTGCTGTCCAGCTGTCAGAGAGGCACTCAGTAGAGGTACGCAACATAACGGCTCATTTCAGTCAGCTTTCCAGTGAAGACATTTCAGTAGCTGTAAGGATGGGAGAGACTAGAACCAGTGATGACTCTGATTTTGTAATTTATAACGAGTAAAAGTGCAGCAGAGCTATAGGTTGCTCTGTAGTTGTAGCTCCTCTCTGTTCCCAGGTCTTATAAAAGTAGGATGCCTCAGATGCCCTGGGAAGAAGAATAAGATGGTAATTAAGTGGTTTTCACTCTCCAGTCTCTCTGACTCCCAGTTATGTTGTGAGCTAAGAAGTGTGTTTATTGTGTAGTGGGCTATTAGATTCATTCCCTGCCCTGTTTTACTAGGCAAGAAAGATTTTTCTGGAATGAGCTGTTGCTGCTTCTAAACGGCTTGTTCAGCTTCTTTTCAGAGTGTAAACCTAGGGAGGCATTCAGCCCATTTTATTGCTGTTGGAATTCAGCCAGAGGGCACTCATGGCTGCTCTATGACAGTTGTGTCTAGGGAGCTGTACTGGATTTTAATGACAGGTTGGTTATGATAATAGGAGATAGAGCTTCTTGCTTCAGCTGACAGTTCAGGTGCAGCGTAGGTTGTTAGCCACTGTAAGTTGTTCCTGTCTGCTAGCTATTTAGTGACCTAAATGAACTGAATTCCCAGTACTATTAATTGGGAGATTCAGCAGAGAGACCAAGAATCATCTCCCCTTCTCTCAAATGGGTGATCTCTCTGGGCCTGGGTTGAAGATCCTGGGAGGAAGTGTGGAGCAAGCTTACATTTCTGTAGTTCATTTTTATGTATCTTCACTTACTAATGAAAAGCTTTTGCTCTCATTGGTCTTCTCATATGATAAATATTGTCAGAACTTGGTTGACTAGCTGAAATCCAGGCAACACCAGTCCTCACCACACATTTTGCTCTCCTGCAGGCTAAGGAGTTGTATGAGATGGATGCCACATCCAGCCGAGTATGGATTCTCACAAGTACCCTGTCTACAAGTAAAGTAGTGATCATTGATGCCAATCAGCCAGGCACGGTGGTGGACCAGTTTACTGTCTGCAATGCCCATGTACTCTGCATTTCCAGCATCCCTGGTAAGTGCAGCCAAGGCATTGTTTCAAGCTTGGACAGACTAATCGGTTCCACCGATTAGTCAGTGACACTTATTTATTCCATGGCTGACAAGTGGTAGCTGCTTTGTTACGTAATTGTTTCCAGAGTTGTTAACAGAGCCATCCCTAGGGGTGCGGCCAGAGCAAGTTGAGTGGGGGGAAGGGGGAACAGCTGGAGCTGGCAGCGCTCGTGGCAGCGGTGCATGACAGCCACAGTGGGGCCTATACAGCACTGACCACAGGGCTCCCCAAAGCACAGGGTCCGGCACCCTGGGCAGTTGCCCCGATTCACCCCTCCCTAGGGATGACCCTGGTTGTTAACCAATATTTTGCCTCCATGTAGGACCAGACTGTGGAGATGTTACTTATATTGATGAGTACTTGCACACACAGGTAGTTCCTTTATTTTCCATAGAACTACTTATGTGAGCAAGTGCTCACCTGGCCTTGATAGTGGAGACAGGCCAGGACACTCTCCATGGTCCTGGAATGGTGCCACAGTGTCTTTGTCAGGGTTAGGCAACCCCTGGCATGCATGCCAAGTAGCAGCATGTGGGGACATTTTTCTTGGCACTCCTGGAGGTCTGCCAAAGAAAATGTTTATATATTTTTTTTAAGTTGCTGCTCAGGGCTCTCTGGAGCAGCAATAGCTCCCAGCGCTGTGGCAGGGACTGGGGGTGGAGTCAGGAGAGCACAGGCAGGGGCACAGGGACACTGCCTGCATTCTGCTGACCTTTCCCCCATGTCTGTGGTGGTGCATGGGGGAGCCTGCAAAGCTAAAGGAGCTGCTGTACACTCCACTCTCACCGATTTTTGCAGGTTCTCCACACTGCCCCCACCAACATCTTGCTGCTGGCTCCTGATGTGTGCAAAGGCAAAAACTAGTTTTCTGCTGATCAGCAACAAAAAGTGGGGCTGCCAGTGCCCCTTGGTCAATCAGCAATGAGCAGTAAAAACAGTGCCATATTTTAAACTGCAGTTTTTTTCTCCCTGTGGATCAGGAGTGAGGGTGAGCAGCAGGGCCCCTCTGCCAGTCAGGGGGGTGGGGTACACACAGGGTAACCGTCAAGATTAAAGGAGCTGCTGCACAGCCCACTCCCTTTGTTGATTTGGTAGTTCCCTAATCTGGGGTGGTGCTAGGGGAGCTTGGGGGGCTATAGCCACCCCAAAATTCACCCTAGCTTCCCTGTAGCCACCCCTCCCAGTGCTGCCTGCCCCTGCCACCTGCCCTGTACAGCTGAACCTACCCTGCTTCTGCTCACGGCACAGCCCCACTGAAAAGAGGTTGGTCCTGCCCATGTCCCTAATCAAGGGGAACTTGTGGGAGGGGTACATGCCTCCTGTGGCCCCCCTAATTTCTGCCAAAGTTGCTGGCAGGGGCCCAAGCAGCTTACACTGCACTGCTGGCCAGGCCTGGGTCTGGCACTTTGGCAAACAGCCTGAGCCCAGCCACCATGCCATGCAGAAAAGCTTCCCCTGGTGCTGCCTCTGTGCCTGCCTGCCTGCCTGCATTGTTCACCCGCATGCCTGCATTGCTGGTGGGGGTGGGGGCAGCCAGGCTCTGGTGGCTGCTTCTTACCATTTCTTTCTTCTCTTTCTCTGCCCTCCTCTTTCTCTTTTCCTTTCTTTCCCTCTCCTCTCTCTCTTTCTTTCTTTCTTTCTTTTCCCCCTCTCCCTCTCTTCCCTCTTCTTTCCTTTTATCTCTCTCTATCCTCTTTTTCTTCACTCCTCTCTCTTTCTTTTTCTCTCATCACAACATGATTAGCAAAAAAGAATACAAAACAACAAAGGTAGTATATGAAGTTGTATTTATTGTCAACAGGTTTCGAATTTTTAGAAAACGTGGTATTTACTGTAAGAAAAAATGATTATTAACTATATTAATATGCAGCGTGTTCCTGCCATGTACCCCCAGCCTGTTTTGTTTTTCTGGCATGCCGGCACTCTGGCACCTTACAAGGTAGACATTGCAGGTTTTTCGGCATGCCAGTCAAAAACGTTGCCTACCCTGGTCTAAATTGATAGTGTGACGTACTTATAGGAGAATCTCTTGTTTTGCCTTAGCGGCCAGTGACAGTGACTACCCCCCAGGTGAGATCTTTCTGGAGGGTGATGTGAATCCAGAAGAGTCATCTGGAACAGATGGCGTCCTTGCGGGAATCACTCTGGTGGGTTGTGCAACCCGGTGCAACGTGCCACGCAGCAACTGTTCTTCCCGGGGTGACACACCTGTACTGGATAAGGGACAAAGTAAGTCTTGGGACCCCAAAGCTCATGACAAGCTGCCTATTAATAAGGCATGCATGTTATTCCCCTTTGTGGGCTGAAGACCTCAGGAAAACCCAAGATGTCTGTTAGTCTGTTGTAGGCCCAACATACCTTGGCTATCCCCTTTGCTTACACTGATCTAAGTTATTCTCATCCTCTTCATTCGGAATGATCTAGGTCACACAGCCGAGCAAGGACCTAACATGACAGATCTTTTAAACAGGGGCATGTATTTGCTCAGTCACTGTTGCTACTGTTCCTATCATTGTCTCCTCCAAATCTATGTCTTTCTATTAACTAAGGTGTTGAGCTGACAGAAGAAGCCAGTGTTAGAAGATTTTTCTTACTTGGAAGAGTCTCTGACATCCTACCAGTAACAGACAGGATCTCATTTTTAAAATACCGTCAGTCTGCTCCCATACACCGCTGTCTATACAGGCTTCCAAGGAGATACCAGAATCATAGGAAAATTAGGCTTGGAAAGAACCTTGGGAGGTCATCTAGTACAACCTGCTGCTCAAAGCAGAACCATCCCCAACTAGATAATTCCAGCAAGGGCTTTGCTGAGCTGGGTCTTAACTTCCAAGGATGGAAATTCCACCACCTCTGTAGGTAACTAGGAGGGTGCTTCACCACCCTCCTAGCGGTAGTTTTTCTTAATATCCAACCTGAATTTCCATTGTAGCAACTTGAGACCATTGCTCCTTATTCTGTCATCTGCCACCACTGAGACTAGTCTAGCTCCATTCTCATTGGAACCACCCTTCAGGTAGTTAAAGGCTGCTATCAAATCCCTCCTCAGTCTTCTCATCTGCAGACTAAATAAGCCCAGTCCTCTCAGCTTCTCCTCACAAGTCATGTGTCCCAGCTCCCTAACTATTTTTGTTGCCCTCTGCTGGACTCTCTCCAGCTTATCCACATCCTTCCTGCAGAGGGGGGCCCAAAACTGGACACAGTACTTGAGATGTGGCCTCACTGATGTCAAATAGAGGGGAATAATCTCTTCCCTCGATCTGCTGGCAACAATCCTACTAATGCAGTCCCAGTATACTGTTAGCCTCCTTGGCAACAAGAGCATACTGTTGAGTCATGTCTACCTTATTGTCCATTGTAACCTCCAAGTCCTTTTCTGCAGAGCTGCTACTTAACCAGTTGGTCCCAAGCTTGTAGTGGTGCAGGGGATTCTTCTGTCCTAAGTGCAGGACTTTGCACTTGTCCTTGTTGAACTCCATGAGATTTCTTTTGGCCCAATCCTCCATTTGTCGAGGTCACTTTGAATCCTAACCCTACCCTCCAGCATATCTACTATTCCCCCCAGCTTCGTGTCATCCACAAACTTGGTGAGGGTGCATTCCATCCTATCTTTCAGATCGTTAATAAAGATATTAAACAAAACTGGCCCCAGGACCACCTCTGGGGCACTTCATTTGATACTGGCTGCCAAATAGACCTTGAGCCATTGGTCACTACCCATTGAGTCTGATGATCCAGCCAGTTTTCTATCTACCTTATAGTTCATTCATCTAACCCATACTTCCTTAGCTTGCTTTCAAGAATGCTGCGGGAGACCACATCAAAAGCCTTGCTAAAATCAAGGTATATTGTGTCCACTGCTTTCCCCACATCCACAGAGCTAGTTGTCTCATCATAGAAGGCAATCAGCCTGGTAAGGCATGACTTGCCTTTGGTGAATCCATGCTGACTCATCCTAATCAGTTTCTTCTCCTCAAATTGCTTAGAAATGGATTCCTTGAGGACCTGCTGCATGATTTTTCCAGGGACTGAGGTGAGGCTGACTGGTCTGTAGTTCCCTGGATCCTCCTCCTTCCATTTCTTAAAGATGGACACTATATTTGCCCTTTTCCAATTGTCTGGGACCTCCCCTGATCACCATGAGTTTTCAAAGATAATGACCAGCAGCTCTGCAATCCCATCAGCCAGCTCCCTCAGCACCCTTGGATGCATTGCATCCAGCCCTATGGACTTGTACATGTCCAGGTTTTCTAAATAGTCCCTAACCTGTTCTTTCACCACAGTTGGCTGCTCCCCTCCTCCCCAAACTGTGCTGCCCAGTGCAGACTGGAGGCTGACCTTGCCTGTGAAGACCAAGGTAATCAAGGCATTGAGTCCTTCAGCCTTTTCCTCATGATCTGTCACTAGGTTGCCTCCTGCATTCAGTATGACAACCACACTTTCCCTGGCCTTCCTCTTGTTGCTGACATACTTGTAGAAAACCTTCGTTACCCTTTACATCCCTTGCTAGCTGCAACTACAATTATGCTTTGGCTTCCTGATTTCATCCCTGCATGCTCAAGCAATATATTTATACTCCTATCTAATCATCTGTCCAAACTTCCACTTCTTGTAAGCTTCCTTTTTGTGTTTGAGTTCACTGAAGAGTTCTTTGCTAAGCCAAGCTGCTCACCTGCCATATTTGCTCTTCTTCCAGCACATCACAATGGTTTGTTCTTATGCCCTAAGTAAGGTTTCTTTAAAATACATTCAGCTCCCCTGGACTCCTCTCCCCCTCAGACTGGCCTCCCAGGGGATCCTCCCCATCAGTTCCCTGAGAGAGTCAAAGTCTGCTTTTCTAAAGTCCAGGTCCATACTCTGCTGCTCTCCTTCCTTCCTTTTGTCAGGATTCTGAATTTGGATCCTCTCGTGGTTACTGCTGCCCAAATTGTCATCCACTCTACATTCCCCACCAATTCTTCCTTGTTTTTAGCAGCTGGTCAAGAAGAGCACACCCCCTAGATGGCCTCTTCAACACTTATACCAGGAAGTTGTCCCCAGAGCTCTCTAAAAACTTCCTGGATTGTCTGAGCACTGCTGTTTTGCCCTCCTGGCAGGTGTCAGGGTGATTGAAGCCCCCCACGAGAACCAAGGCCTGGAAACTTCCATTAGTTATCTGAAGAAAGCCTCATCCACCTCATCCTCCTGGTCTGGTGATCCATAGCAGACCTCTACCACGACTTCACCCTTGTTGCTGTCTCCTCTAACCTTAACCCAGGGACTTTCAACAGGCCTGTCTCATTTCATACTGGAGCTCTGAGCAGTCATACAACTCTTTTACATACAGTGCAACTTCTTCTCTTTTTCTCCCCTGCCTGTCCTTCTTGAATCATTTGTATCCATCTGTGACAGTTCTTCAGTCATGTGAGCTCCCACCAAGCCTCTGTTATTCCAGTCATGTCATAGTTCTTTGACTGTGCAATTACTTCCAATTCTTCCTGCTTAATACTGGAAGATTTGGAAGAATAATCTGAAGATCAGAAGCGTGCTCTATAAACAGACCACTTCTGTCTAATTTTTCCATCCAGCTTACAGTGTATTCCTCCTTCCATAGGTGAGGTGGCTGCAGTCAGCAATGGGAAAATCAATCAGTCCCAGTCCACAGAAGAGGCAACAGAAGCTACAGAAGTACCAGAGAATGGTGCAAGTGAAACAGAATCAGTCCAAGTCCGGCCTGGTCCACTTACAGAACATGTTTTTACAGATCCAGCTCCAACTCAGGCACCTGGGAGGCAGAACAGGTAGGCTGTTGTGCTAGTACAGTTGTCCATCAGCATTGATGAGAGCAAATGAATGAGTCCAGCCTATTTTTTGAGGGGAAAGTCAAACTCTTACCACCTTCACACCAACACTGTGTAAACAAAGGGGCTGGTAGGGTAGGGGGGCAGGAATCAAATGAAACAAACATGGTTCTTCCAGTAGCAGGCTGTTTCAGAGCAAATATTTGATCTAATGAGGAATAAGACCTGCTGTCAAGAGGAATACCCCCAGAGAACTCATGCACTTAAAGCTTTTATCTGAGGATCTTATGGACTCTTATATGCGGTGATGAGTGGTCATTCTAGTAATACCTATAACAAGGAGGATGCTATACAAATATCAGAGAAGGCATGGAGTGTGTCAGAGGTCTTATAGAGCAGTGGTTCTCAACCCTTTTTGTATGAGGACCCATTTGTAAACTTTGGCCAGTCCCAACCCAGTGCCCCTCACTCCCGACCTGCTGCCCCCCCACCCCCAGGCTCCAGCCCCGCAGTGTATGGGTCATGGGGGGCCCCAAGTAGCCCCTTCCAGGCTGGAACTCTGCCAGCCTGCAAAGGAAAAGCCATGGCTTCCCATGTTTTTCTCCTTTAAAGGAGAATCCATTCTTAAAGTTTGTTTGTGAACCTTTCATATATTCTTGTGACCCACTTTTGGGTTGCGACACACGGTTTGAGAAACATTGTTATAGAGCAATCAAGGCCAATATAGTGAGCGTGTAAACAAAGAACATGCCATGTGGCCAGATGATGGAATAGCTGGAGAGGCAAAGCAAAAAGCTTTTCTTTAGTCCATATTTTTAAAGGAAATGAACAGGAAAAATCCTCAGTAACTTTGAAGGAAGGATGTTCCCACTCATCAAGATTAAAACTTTAAAGGTAATTTACAAATGTAGGAATCAAACAGTTATAGAGCAGTTGATAAATAAAGGTACTTTAAGGCAGGGACTGCATCTGCCTCTGTGCTGCTATTAGATAACTACTGATAAGGGAGCCCCCTACAGAGGATATCAATCCATGTACATGAGACCTGAGATCTGCCCTCTGATGAGATTAGAGATTGTGAGGGTTGCTTTTGTCCTTGCAGTGAGAATGGGCAGCAGAAGTCAGAGTCCAGCACAACACTGCCAGAGCAGGAAGCAAACGGTGATGCTTCTGGAACCTGTACCAGTGCTGCACCCACCATGTGGCTTGGAGCACAAAATGGCTGGTAGGTTTGTCTCGAGCCAACAGAACCTTCTTTGTTACCTATTGTCCCAAACAGGTAGCCTCCAGGTCCCAATACTTTAATGTTTATAGACTGTCTTCACTGTGCACCCCTGAAATGCTGGTTAATTTTGAGCCCTTGGTTTGTTATAGTTGGAGCAATTCAGCCAGCCATGCTTTGCAAATTGCTTTAATGTTACAATGAAAGACTCACACATGACCTTGCAATGCAGTTTTTGTTGCCTGACAACCTTCCTGCTAACCAGACTTGCTTTCTCCTTCCCACAGGCTATATGTGCACTCAGCAGTCTCCAACTGGAAGAAGTGCCTGCACTCAATAAAGCTGAAGGACTCTGTGCTGAGCCTGGTGTAAGTTTCCATCCTGAGTCACAGACATGAACCCAGGAGACTCATCACATGATTGATCTTTCTTTGTTGTTGATTGGGGGTTGCTTGCCAGCCCATCTTTTTCCTTGTCTTAGTAAGTGCACTGGTCTGTGGGGAAGATTTCTGAAACAACTTCCTGCTCCTTGATTCATTCAGAAAGACTCATAATGAGGTGCTTTCTTTTCTAGTTGCAGGATTGGCAGCATCTGATCACTAGTGTACTGGATAAAAATCAACTGGGGAGAGGGGAGAGGAGAAACAATGGAATTGCCTTCTCACGTTAGTGTAAATCAAGTGGAACTTTCCTGAGATCAGTGGAGTTATTCAGTGTTAAACCAGTGGAAAGGAGAGGTGAAATTCAGCAGGAAACTGGTAAACTCTGTGCTAGTTGAAATCTAGTGCTGCCATCCAAAAAGTAAATAGATATGTGACCCTCAGATACCTGCAGAATGGCTGTGGCAAGTGCTGGATGCAGCAGGAATTGTTTGTAGAAAATAATTTGTAACCAGGAGAGGAAGAGAGTCTCTTACCCCTGATATAATAGATCATGACTGCATCCCAGCCTGGTAGAAGTTCTAGGAAGGCCTGGGAATTAGTTATTCCTGCTAGACTTTCAAATGTGCTGTCTTCTCACTGGTTTCAGGCATGTGAAAGGACGGGTTCTCGTTGCTCTGGCTGATGGAACACTAGCCATATTCCACCGAGGAGAAGGTAAAACTCAAAGTAGTCAGGAATGAACTAGTCAACTCCAGAGCAGAAGCAAAGTCTGTGGATGCAGATTAAGCATATCACTGCTGGGCTTAAAAAGAAAGGGTACCAAATTACTAGAATTTGAATACTTTCTTAAAATACACAGCTACTACCAAAATAGTGCCCTTATACTCAAAAGGGCAGTTCTTGCTTCCTTCTAGATTTTCTTGTTACATGGCAGCTCACGCTGGGAATCTTGTAGCTGGTTGCCATGAGTGAGTCAAGTTTTTAGAGCTAGAACTTTTCACTGTACTCTCTGGTGGTAATCAGAGTGATGAAGTCCCTGCAACAGACTGAAGTGGAGAGAGTGCTGCTTGTATAGACTCTATTTTTTAACTTCTGCTAGGGTGAGCTTTGGGTTGAATATGATTATTTAACAACCAAAATGTCCACATCCTAGATGTAATAATGCTCCCTGATGCAGAGGTAATATGTTTGCAAAGTAATCTGATTACACACTTAGCTGGACTAGAAAAGAGGAGATCTTGGTTCTATACTGGAACTTTCATATACTGGAACAGTTCATTTGAAGTTGGAGGATCATCCAGAAACCAATAGGGAGGGAAGTGATTCTGCTGTGCATGCAGATCACTGATGCCTTTGTTTTCCTCTAGATGGTCAATGGGATCTCAGCAACTATCACCTGATGGACCTGGGTCATACGCACCATTCTATCCGCTGTATGGCTGTTGTGTATGATAGAGTCTGGTGCGGCTATAAGAACAAAGTCCATGTTATCCAGCCCAAGACGATGCAGATTGAGGTGAGGAGCATGTGCATTTGTGGGTGAAGGAGGTGGTAACAATAGAGATTGGCCCAGGCTTTATCAGTTCTTTTAGCTGCTTTCTGCAGTAGAGGGAGGGAAACACAATCTTTGTATCCTTATTGTTGACTCATAGATTCATAGATTCATAGATTAAGGGTCGGAAGGGACCTAGTAGATCTTCTAGCCCGACCCCCCGCCAGGGCGGGAGAACAACAAAAACCCCAAAAAGAGAAATGGGACTCAAACGAGTCCAGCTAGGTGGGCATCCAGCCTCTTCTTAAAGACCCCCAGGGTAGGGGCCAGCACCACTTCCCTTGGAAGTTGGTTCCAGCTCCTAGCCGCCCTAACGGTGAAGTAGTTTTTGCGGATGTTCAATCTATACCTCCTCTCCAACAGCTTGTGCCCATTTCTCCTTGTTATGCCAGCGGGCGCTAGGGGAAACAGCGTCTCCCCCAAACCCCTCTGGTCCCCCCTAGTGAGTCTATAGACAGTCACCAGGTCCCCCCTTAGCCTTCTCTTGTGGAGGCTGAATAGGTTCAGGTCCCGCAGTCTCTCACTGTAGAGTCTGCCCTGTTGTCCCTGGATCATGCGGGTGGCCCTCCTCTGGACCCTCTCCATATTGTCCACATCCCTCTTGAACTGGGGCGCACAGAACTGGACACAATACTCCAGCTGTGGCCTGACCAGTGTCGCATAGAGGGGGAGGATCACCTCTTTGGCTCTACTCGAGATGCACCTGTGGATGCACGACAAGGTCCGGTTAGCCTTGCCAACCATGACCTCGCATTGTCGGCCCATGTTCATCTTGGAGTCAATAATGACTCCAAGATCCCTTTCTGCCTCCGTGCTCTCGAGTAAGGAGTTCCCCATTGTATAAGTGTGCTGCTGGTTCCTACTGCCCAAGTGCAGCACCCTGCACTTGTCCGTGTTAAAACGCATCCTGTTCCTGTTAGCCCACCCCTGTAACCTATCCAGATCCCTCTGCAATCTCTCGCTCCCTGCTAGCGTGCTCACCTCCCCCCAGATTTTGGTGTCATCAGCGAATTTAAACAGGTTACTTTCCACCCCTTCATCCAGATCGCTGACTCCATGTTGGTAGGACAAGAACTGTTAGGAGAAACCATGTTACTGGAGATCTGACAGCATAGCACTCATTATCTCTTACTCTTTGGAGCTTGAGTACTTGGGTCATATCTATATCTGGCACTTCCTTTGTGACTAGGAAGGAGGCTGGGAATCCACATGTACTAGGTACTCTATTCAGAGTTTGCGCCTCTGATCTAGAAGCTTTGAAAACAAAGTGCTCCCAACCCAGGATGAGGGAGCACCTGTCTAGGTCACTGCAAACCTGCAATGAATTCATGATGTTCCACACAATTGATATTTCAGAAGTCCTTTGATGCCCACCCACGCCGGGAGAGCCAAGTCCGGCAGCTGGCATGGATCGGAGATGGGGTGTGGGTTTCCATCCGCCTAGACTCCACGCTGAGACTGTACCATGCCCACACCCATCAACACCTTCAGGATGTGGACATTGAACCTTATGTCAGCAAGATGCTAGGTGAGAAGGCAGCAATTTTTGCTAGATGGTCTATTATACTGACTGTTGTTGATTAGGGAGAATCAGTGTTTTTAGGACACTGCTCCAAGTAATACCATCCTAATACCACCATTTCACACTCCCAATCCACAGGCACTGGAAAGCTGGGCTTCTCGTTTGTGCGGATCACAGCCCTGCTCATTGCTGGCAACCGCCTCTGGGTAGGGACAGGGAACGGTGTCGTCATTTCTATCCCCTTGACTGAGAGTAAGTGATACTTATCAGATATTTTCCTGAAATTACTCAATACCAGCAAAGCCTTCATTTGCTGAATATACAGTGGAGTAAGTGACTTGGGCAGAATAAATACTTCCCAGGCTGATCTCCACATACTGGTGCCAGAAATGGAGTATCACAGTTCTGATCAGTGATTCAGAGAAAATAAAGGGGATACAGGTATCTCCAGGTAAAGGAGCAACCTTGAACCTGGCCTGAGACTACCTTGATTATGAAATTAAAACTTTGCTATAAGTTAATTTGACCCATTTAAAGATGTAATAAATATTCAGCACTATCCTGTTCAGTGAAGTAGAAGCAGTTTCCTCCTTTGAGGAACTGTGACATCTGCACAATCTCTACATTGTATACTGTTGATCAGTACTGTGATACACTTGGCAGATGTTGACTCATTCTAGACCTATTGTTAGCATCAGGATTGAAGCACTGTGAAGTGCATACATTGGAAGGGGGCTACAAGTATAAGTCAGAAGAAACCCTTCTGTAGACGGTCCATAATACTATAGATATCTGAACTTCCCACACTGATACCATTGCTCAAGGGCTGAGGAAGAGGAAGGTTCATTGAATCAAATCAAGGAGTCCGTTTTAGTCCAGCAAAACTTAAGGCAAATCATCAGTCAGTCCAGTCTAGTGAGGAGCTTACCAGGCAAGTCCCTAGAGTTGAGAGGGCTAATTGAAGCTTTCAGTAATCCTGTTTTTCACCTGCCACTCAGCATCTAACTTTTCAGTGAGAAAATTTACTCCTAAATGCACTGGAAGATACAGGAATATGGGGCAATTTATTGTGATGAAAATTGCAATTCTTGCATCCCTGCTGCTGGCAGAACATGACTGTTTTATGAGGAAAAAAATCTGTTATGCACAGAATTGGCCCCTCCTGATACACTTACACATGAATACAGCTTGCATCTTTCATCAGTGCACTACCTTTGACTCAGTGTTCTCGGAGCCATTATCATCTGAGAATCTCACTTCTGAGCCCCTCCCTGTTCTAAGGGTTGCTTTTTCTTGAGGCAGCTCTTATGCCTCTGAGTTCAATTCATCACACACTGCAAGTGAACTACATTCTCATGTGACATTGCTGAAGAAATGGAGAGTCGCAAGATTTCACTGTGAACTTGGACTTTTGATCCCCTGAGCTCTCCTTCATCCCTGGTCTTATAATTGAAGGATGAGTAGTGCAAGGGCAGGGTTTTCTTAAAGTGACTCTGAGTCAACTGCTCTTTTTGGCACTCTCTCGATGTGTGTATTTTTGTGGCTCCCAGAAATTTCTCCTAATAACTGCCTTTTTCTTCTCTCCCCACCTGTCTTTCTCTCCCTGTTCCCTTCTGTTCTCCACTCCTTGCGTGGCCTAGCTGTAGTCCTCCACCGAGGCCAACTCCTTGGGCTCCGGGGTAAGTCCAGTACCTCCTTCCTTGTGGATTTCAAACGCCATTCCCTGTGCACCAGCCGTCCCTCCCAGTCACTTTCCTAACCCTTCATCCACTTATTTACTTCTTTCCATTCACTTACCCATTCATGTCTCTCGCATTAACTAGCAGTCACTGAGAAGAGCCCAAAGTTGATAATGTAAATAGCCTCATTCCCTTGGAGCTAGGGGCATTCAACTCTTTCTCAGTAGCCCTCCCATTTGTTTTACTGTGTAACTGAGTACTTCGTTTTTTCCACCTAGCTCTTTTGATAGCTGAGGTCAGGGAAGGTGATGACCAAAAGTGTGCTCCTTGTACTCCTGGTAGTAAAGATCTGTTTAGCCAGTTGTTTCTTGTTTCTTGGCAGACCAGAACAGACTGTCCATCTGGTCTTCCAGGGATTCCCCAAGCTCCATCAGTTTCCAGAACAATTATGGTACCAGTGCTGTGGCACCTCAGAGCCAAGAGTAATAATGCAGGACCTTTAAAAAGACTGGACAGTTTATGAGCATTAAAAATCATTTGCACTTATGCAAGGGAAGGGGGTGATACCGTGGGAATCCCAATTCCTGGATCAGGCTTTATTATCCATCTGCAAGGCTTAATAAGCAACCCTGTCCTAAAGTTTGGCCAGGAGCATTCTGAGTATATTTTCCTTCTTTAGGAGCATTAGATACTAGCCACTGTTAGAGGCTGAACACAAGGCTAACTGGACTCACTGTTTGATGCAACAAGTCCAGTGTTACTGTAAAGTGACACCATCCAGTTGCAGCTGCATATAGAAAGTCAAAGTACATTGGTGCAGAAAGCTTTCATTGCTGTGGTCTTTTTTTCTGATCAATTCTTATTCTTCCATGCAGCTATTTTGCCTGTGATCCCAAAATCCTGGCTTGAGAAACAGGTCTCCTTTGATTTTAGGGTTATTTCTTATTTCTCATTTAATAACTGAGATAATAGATATAATAGTGTATATAATGACATCAAACATAAGTCCCTGCTAGAGTGAGCACCACGCTGGAGTTTGTTTGTGCAAGAGACCGAAAGTTCTACATTTCCCACAGTGTGCGTGCATGCATGCGTGCGTGCACATGCACCTAGGATAGTCATGCAGGGAAGAGTCTCCCATCTTGAGCACTGAGCCCTAGACTGGTAAATGGAGTTTATTTCTTGCAAGATGCTGAGCACTGTGAGCTTCTATGGGCTTTAAGGGTGTTCAGCCTCCCTCAGGAGGGCTTCTGTGGCCAGAGAGTGAGTCTCAGGGTATTGTGGCTGAGGCTGGCAGCTACCTTTTCCCCAAGATTAGAAAAGAAACCCGGTTCCCTTTGACTCCACCTCTGTCCTGTTGCACTATGGCTCTGCAGGGACTATGTTGCCACCCTGTACTTTGGCAGATCGGTGCTAGCAGAGGGCTTGCCTTTCAAACTTAGCAATTTCATCAGTCCAGAAAGCAGCCACAGCTCTCCAGGGGCCTTGTAGGCCAAGCAGACATATTGTTTCATTAGGGCAGTGAACTCCTCACATTACCCACCTAAGTAGCAAGGCCTATGACTGGCCACAGAACAGTAAGTTCTTTCTCAACTCTCCAGAGTTCTGAAATATGGCTACCATAGCAGGGGGAGGAGGCCTTTATCACAGTGCCCTTAACATATTCCTTTGTAGGGGTGGGACTTTTCCAAAGACATCCCTATTAGTCAAACATTCCTTTGATTAGAGGCACAGCTCATTCACATGAAGGAATGTAACTGTGCCTCCACCATGCTGGCAGGGAGATGGAATGTATAATCTAGTATGGTCTCTTCCATCATGCCCAGGACACTAAACGGGGCCTCTAAAGTTTCTCCAGTGGTACTCATGACTTCTCGCTTTGACTGGGGCTACTGTATAAATGGGCACAAATCTACTACTTGGGGTTATTCTTCTGTTCTCAGCCAATAAGACATCCCCAACATCAGGAGAGGGGAGTCGCTCTGGTGGAGTCATTCATGTGTATGGGGATGACAGCAGCGACAAGTCTGCCAGCAGCTTCATCCCCTACTGTTCCATGGCTCAGGCGCAGCTCTGCTTCCACGGCCACCGGGATGCTGTCAAGTTCTTTGTCTCTGTGCCTGGTAAGGAGAAGGACAGCACATTATCAGGATGGGTCTAGCATTAATTGTAATTTCCATGGTGGGGGAGGCCAGAGTTGGCCTGCTGTAGGATGTTGTGGGTGCCATTCACACCTCCTGCAGCTGAACCAGTGACTCCTACAGTTCCTTGTTCTTATGCATGAACTGGAATAAAAGCCAGATTTCACTCATCAAAGTGATTGAACTGGCAGGGCCTTGACCACATTTGTGACCTTGAGCTGAGTGCTCAGGGACTGTGGCAGAGGTGCTGAAAGGGGCCCCCATGTTTTTTCAGGCAATGTTCTTGCAACCCTGAATGGAAGTGTGTTGGACAGCCCCTCTGAGAACCCCAGCACAGCAGCCACCGAGACCGAGGGGCAGAAGCTGAAGAATGTCTTGGTGCTGAGTGGAGGAGAGGGGTACATTGATTTCCGGATTGGTGAGCACCTCTTGTTTGCCTTGTAGGAAGGACCAGGCACGATGTGTGGGGACCAGTGAGACTCGAGGGATAAAACTGCTGCTGGGGAGTGAATTCAGGAAATTATTTCCACTTGTTCCTGATGATCTGTGTAGACCAAGATCTGTGTACCTCACTCCCACATACCTGTAGAACAAACACAGACCCCAGACAGCTGTCTGTCTTTGCCCCGTAAGTCAGTCTGCACAGAGCCATGATGATATTCATTAGAGCAATGGGAGCCAACCTTCTTGGCAGGCATGCCATGTAGCCCCACACCCTCCTCATGTGCCAGTCCGATCCCCTTCTGCCTCCTGATCCTGCTCTGCCCTCTGCTTCCTGCCCTATCAGCTGCTGTGCTGCCTGTCCCCTCCCTGATTTGCCACCTGCCACACACACAGGCTGCTTGTGTCACTTGTGACACTCATGTTGCAGGTTGGCCATCCCTGCACTATGATTTTCCACACTGATGGCTCAATGCTGCAATCACAGCATTTTCAGGTGCAACACTCTGGAGAATGCCCTTGGTTAGACTTACAGGCTCGTCCATGTTGGTGGGGATACTTGGTCAATCCATGAAATTGGGGATGCCAAAGAGTGATGGTTTTACATTTTTATGAAGAAGTAGAGGAGTTGTCTTTCCATTGTACATGGACTTTGATACACAAATGCTTCCAGTCCTCACAACTGCGCTCCAGACTTGGCAGATATCAGTCAATACTGCCTGTGGTCAGGTAGCAAAGATCACAGCTGAGTGACAAGCCTTTTGTGAGAATTCCTAAGGGCAGCAATGCGTGGGCTCCCCCTGGTCCCCCCTCCTTACCATTTGTGTTTTCTTGTCAGGGGATGGAGAAGATGATGAGACAGAGGAGAACACTGGAGATGCCACCCAAGTGAAGCCAATGCTTTCCAAGGCTGAAAGAAGCCACATTATTGTGTGGCAAGTCTCCTACATCCCTGAGTGAGAGTCTCTCCTTTTCTGCCAATGTAACTCTCCCTCCTCCCGCTGAATGCCAAGATGTACATACAGAACTCCTGCATTATATCTACTGCTGGAATCGGAACCTCAGACACCTGCAGCAGCTCCTGCATTGGACTGCGACCCCATTCTAACCTCTGAACGTGCAGCTTTCATCTTGGGCCTGTATGCTCTTTGAGTGCTCAGGTAGTTGTTCTCCTTCCAATGCTGGTGTCTCCAAGGGAAAAAAATGGAAGAAAATCTTCAGAGTGAAGCTGGTGGTCAAGACCTGTGCAAGCACCTCTGATTTGGAAGGGCTGGCCCATGTTACCAGGAAGGCTGCTTCACTCCCACCTGCATGAGAAGCAGTGCATCTCTCCAACGTGCCCCACTGAAGTGAAGCTGATGAATCGCCGCTTGCCAACAGCTCCAAAGAAATCTTTTCCTGTTCACCACATGAAATTCCTATCCCCTCCTATCTGTGTAGATTGTACCCAGGCACAGAATGTTACCCCAGATCTAAGGGTATCCTGTGTGCAGAGATGGGACCACAAAAGGTTTCTGTTTGGTCGTAGGACAACAGTCCCATGAAGAAGTGATACAGTGAAGAATACTTTCTGTATATGGAAAGATGGAGTCTCCCTCCTTCCTCTACTGATATTGTTTGGTCATTAGGTAACATGGAGTCTGTGCTGGGCAATGTGAGACTGGGAAGGACTGTTTGCTTGGTAGGGAAATAGAAGAAAGGTGTCTGATGTCAAAGGCCTCTAGCATTCTGGAATGCTGTAGCAGTGACTGCGTGCTGAAATCTCATTGGTTAGCTGAAGGAAAAGACAGAAATACTTTTTCCATATAAGTTTTGGAAGGGAAAGTTTAAAGACATGTAGGTTTCCTTATTTTTACAAGCCTTAAACATGCAGAGACAAGCTGATGTTGTTCAATGGATGTTGATTTGTAAAGTGTAGGTGAAGGCAACTTAAGCAGTCCTCTGTGTTGCTGTGCTATGACTTGTATGTTAACACAGTGAGGTTTTATTGAATGACTTATGAAGACAACATCCTGTTTTGGGCATTGCTGACTTTCTGCAGGGAGAAATAAGTGTATTCCTCACCGTGACTGGGAGGAAAGGATGTTACAGATGGGGAACCATGTCTTACCCAAAGTCACGCAGGCAACCTATGACAGCAGGGAATGAATGCAGCTGTCCTGACTCCCCTTGCTGGTGCCCCAAGCACTGGACTGTTTGCAGTTCTGGGTGTGCAGAAAAGATCAAGTTGTTTCACTACTGGAATGCATGATGGTGCCCAGGAGAGACTTTTATTGTCCTTCCATGGAATTGCAAACATTATTTTGTCCTGCATACAGGAGGAGGATGCAGTGTTCACTCCAGAATGCAGAGGTGAGGAGTGACTTTCATGTGCTTTGTCCAGCATGTATCTAACTTCCTGCCTAAGAGGAAGCAAGAAATAACCTATCCAGGCAGGCTGTTTGAAACTGGCCATGCAAGAGCACAACATTTATGCTTGGAAGGTGTTTGTGTCCCTTTCTAACATGCCCCTTTGCTTCTTTGTCTGCCTGCTAGGTGAGGCTAAATTGAGGCTTTCAGGGATGTTTTCCTCATTTCCTACAGCATAGCCATATTGTATAGATGCATCCTAGGGCAATTTTTGTCTTTCTCTGATGCATCTAGCTGTGGGCCCAGTTGGAGAGAAGATACTAGAGTGGATGGAACAATTGTCTTGTATGCTATAGTAACTTCTGTGTTGCTGAAACATGGTGCACATGGAGCTGTAGCTGGATGCATCCTTTGTTTAGCAGCAATACCTTAGCCCAGACCTTTGCAAACAAGCATACTACAGAGAAGGCTGGGAGAGAGAGAGAGAGAGTACACATCAGTCCATTTGAAGCAGCAGTGACATACCAGAGAACAGGGGCTTCAGCATCCTGGTTAGCAGTGAGAGAGAAGTTTGGTGGTGCCACAAATTGCCTGTGAGCAGTGTTGGATTACTGAGGAAACATACTATGCTTCAAACTGAGGTAGGGATGAGTTCTGAATCATGTCCTGCAGCCATGTACCAGCTTTGCTGTTTGTGTCTACAGCATCCTTTCAGTAGCTGTGTGGGCAGCAGAACACCTCCATGGAAAGGGGTCTCCAGTGGGACATGTTTGACTGAGGCTTTTCTGAATGAGCCAGGCTTCTGCTACGCCATGGCCATGTTCCAGAAATGCTGTCTGACAGGAGAAGTCACTGTGGGTAGCAACAGAGCATGAGGTAGGGAAGGAGGAAGGAAAAAAAATAGCAAGTTCCATACAACAGGTACTACCACCAGTTAATTTGGGCTGACAACATAAAGTGGAATTGACATCGGTTGCTCATTGAAATTGGATGCTCCATATGAAAATTTATGAAACATTCTGTATCTGTTTTTATCAGTGACCGTACTTGCTCCTCTATCTCCTACTGATTGCTCCAAGGCAAATGGAGAGAAGAGGTCTCAAATCATCTCAGCAGGTTCAGTTCCCTTGCAGCTTGAAGCATGTTTTCCTTGAAGAGAAGCACACATTTAAAGGGGGGCAGCTATAGCCACTGCTGCTGTGTTCCTATCATCCTTCGGTGGCTACTGGGCAGCAAGGTGAGAGCTGATTGGCTTACACTTCCCCATCATATCTCCACTGTGATGTATGTAAAGTACCTTGTATGTTATAAAAGGATTTAAAAAAAAAGTGTCTTAAGGCCTGTAAACTCCGCTGTTTGGTCTGAAGATGGCATTCTGTAAAGAGACTGCTGTATGAATACTTTCCCATGCTTTGTCCCCTCTGCTATCAAACAAATGAACCATATCTGTTCTGTATGTAATAAATGTGTTAACATCAGCAAGTGCAAACGTCTGTTTGTTGGCTTGCATTTGCAGACATTTCTAATAAATTTTCATAATGGATGGGCTACTCTGAGGGCCATTAGGGCAATCACCTCAGATTCTCACCTGTTAACATTTTTCAAACGAGCCTGCTCATTTTATTCACCTTTAACTTCAAATGTCAGTTCATCATATTACTGGCTTTAAAAATGTTAACACAGCCAAAGAACACTTATAACTAAGGCAGCCAAGGGCCAATGGGACAGGAACTAAATAAAAGTCCCATAAACAGGGCCACAATTCAAGCCGGCAATTATCTTATCATTAAAATAGACCCCCTAAATTCATGGGGCTAAATACAAAATGATGTCTGTTTCTAATGTATTTACAAACCGTGGCTGCATTTTTATGATCAGTTAGCACCATACAATTTCTCAAGCTCTGAAGTACAATGGCAGCACAGTTCAGGGAAATGCAAGACACTTAGTATTTGGAGCTTTGGGAGCTCAAGCCCAGAGGTCAACTCTTTCCCTGCAACACACTAGGCTGTTGGGTTTACCAGCACTGTACCAGTAAACTCCTGAAACAGCCAGTCACAGTGAAGAAACAAACCATGAGGTGCATGACTCTCCAAAGTTTATTATATATTAAAAAGTTAACAATTATAAAACCAAGCTGAGTCAGTTATTTTATGGATGTAAACAGTCCTCTCTACAAGCTGCATGGAGGTAGAATGAGCTGCAGCCAGAGGGGCTATGGGAGACCCCATTTGTTTTAACTAATCAGCTGTGAACGTGCAGGCAAAGAACCTCTGTCCACCCATAAATGTTTCTCAGCAGTTTTTGCTTTTCTTTAAAAGGTCACTGATTCTATGTCTTTGCTCAACCTCAAAGCTAGAGAGGGTAGGGAACATTTTTAACCAGCCAGAAAACCTGGATGAGTTTATTCTCTCCTAACATGCAGACTTAACCATACAGCAGCTTTGAGAGTCTACAGGGGCAACAGGAGTCTATATCAACAACTAACACTGCAACATTTGGAGCATGAGGGCTGGTGAGACCGAGTCACATACTCCTGTAGATCATATGTGCTTTACTTGCCTCACCCACAAACACAGCCCACAATAGCATGAGGAAATAAAGGGATCATGGCCAGAACAGCGTCAGTGTCTGAAAGATGGGCTTCTTTAATAAAAAAAAGAAATTGCACTCCATTATAACACCTGCTCCACATTAAGCAGAAGTACTTAGAGCATCAGCTTATTAGGTCATATTTTAAGTAAATTCTGGAAGCTGAGGCAGCATTGCCAGTCACGTGGGAATAGATTTCCCATCCTCACCTCTGAGGCCACCCTTTGCACTGACACATGTTCAAACCAACACTAGACATAACACAGCCCTCAAGGCTTTACAGTGTGACCAGTAACTGCCCTGACTAACAGCAGCAGGAAATTGACCTCTTTCAGTCTGCACAGCTCCAGGTTTAGGCAGTGCCACCCTGTCCTCAGGTGGATCTTCAGAATTACATATGAAAAACAACTGCCATCAGCTGCACCCTAGCCTAATGCAAGGCAAGCTCCTGCCAGTACAACTTGCGTGCTGTATGGTTTAAGCACCCCAGTAAAGGCAAGTAGGTTATTGCTTTGACTAGTTCTGCCAGAGTGATGAATGCATTTTTCCAGGTGTATCTTTGGCATAGAGGAAAAAAATTAAGCATCCCTTTATTTAGGGGGTCTAAATTAACCTTCTCAAACCAAGAAAGGGACTTGGGTTTTTGTGTAGACCAATGGTTTCCAACCTTCTTTACATTTGCAGGCACCTAAAAAGCTTTGAACAGAGGTGTGGACCCCTTTGAATTGTACTTGTGGGTATTCACATACCCAATGATTGATCATAATCACCTTTCATGGACTCCTTAGCCACAGTCTGCAGAACCCAGGGGTCCACAGACCACTGGTTGAAAGCTACTGGTATAGACAGCTCCATGAAAAACCTCTAGGCAAAGTGCAGCTGTAGTTCAAAAAGAAAAATCAGATATGAGGATGCATAAAGAATGAGATTGAGATAATACAGGAAATGTGAAAAGTCCTTTGTGTAAGTCCATGATAGGGCCTCTGCCGGATGTGTGGAGTAGTGGTCATCCTACCTTAAAGATATTGCAAAACTGATGAAGGTTCAGAGAAGTACAATGGGATGAGCAGAGCATTCCTTCATAAGAAAAAAAACTGAAGAGGGGCAAGTAAGGGAGGACATAAGAAATGTACATAAAACAATCAGCATCTGGAGCAGGTAGATCAAGAGTCTCTTCTCACTCTCTCAGAAGAGGAGTTATTGGACATGAAAGGTGGGAAACTTAAAACCACTATACGAAAGTATTGTTCACACTGCAAGTTTTGGGAATCATTGGAGACAGAATACAAGACTAATTGGATCCAGTTCTGATCCAATAGGCAATGTATACGTGTTAACAATGATCCTTGAATGTAGAAAGATAATACAATATCTGCATACAGCATCAGCAAAACCAACACTGGAATACTGGGTCCAGTTCTAGTATCCACACTCCTAGAAGAGGAGATATTGAAAAACTGGAAAGGGTTCAGAGAACACCTATAAGAATCATGTGATATCCAGAAAGCCTGCTTTGCAGTAAGAGACTGAAAGGATCCAAGCTATTTATCAAAAAAAAGTTGAAGTGCCAGTCACCACCTGCAAACCAGTGGCCAGAGAAAAGATTTCTGAGAGCAGAGCACTCTGAACAAGACCCAAAAGCTGGAAAATGAAACCAGAAAAATTCACACTGGAATGTGATTTCCCCCCCCCCCCCCC